CCAGCTGGCCAACCTCCTGCATCCCTCCCCAGCCCATATCATGCACTGGTGGGATCTCTCGTCCTGGCCTACACCCTCTGGCAATCTGGGACCCCTTGGGGGATGTTGGAGAGCTGGTTTCAGTGAGATCCCACAGGCCAGGCCGAGGAACCCCACTGGTGCACGAATTCATGCACCAGGCTTCTAGTTTTAAATAAAATTGTCTCATTCATTTTAGACACATATAAACGTCTTTTACTATTGAAGACTTTTGAGCAGAAATTCTCCAGGCTGTATTTTTTACAAATATTTTTACTGATTTCAGAGAGGGAGAGAGAGATAGAAGCACCAATGATGAGAGAGAACCATTGATCGGCTGATTTCTTAAATTCCAGGTATTTGCCATTCTGAGATACAACAGGAAACATGACAAAATCCCTGTCTTCATGGAATTTATATTAAGGGGACAGATAATAAACATGTGGACACATTGCTGTATTCTGCAATGTCAGAAATGCCATGGAGGAGCATAAGGCAAGGCAAGGCGGTAGAAAGTAACAGGAAGTGCTCTTCACAGGTCGGCCAGGGTAGGGCTCTCTGGGGAAATAACTTTTGAGCAGAGACCTATAAGGGGGGAGCCAGCCAGGCTGACCCTCGGGGGGAAAAACATTCCTGGCAGAGGGAACTGCAAGTGGAAAGGCCCAGAGGAAGACCTGTGCTTGGGGAGCTCAGAGAACATTAGGAGACCCATTGTAGCAAGATACCTGTTCTCAATAAAGGGTCTCAGCCTTCATTCCTTTTTTTACTTCATCCCCACACCTCATCTAACCTCATCTACTGAATCATGTCAACACTCTTCCAAAGTATATTGTGAACTCACCCAAATCTTTGTCCGTGTCCATCTCACCCAAGACCCTGCCATCTCTTCTTGCCTGGATTACTGTAAGAGTCTTCTCACTGACCTCCCATGAATTTCAATCACATTTCTCCTCTGCTCAAAATTCTTCAAGAGATTTCCACTGCCCTTTGAAAACAGATGAACCTTCTGGCCATGGCTTTTAAGACGGTCTGTAATTGGGTCCCTGCCTGCCTCTCCAGCCCCATCTCCTGACAGCCAGGGCTTCAGCCACATGGTCCATGTGTTCATCAACTCAGGCTGCTGTACCAGAGTAATACAAACCTGACAACGAAAACAACTGAAACCTATTTTCTCACAGTTCTGGAGGCTGGGAGTCTGAAATCAAGTCAATGTTTTGCTGGCAGATTGGTTCCTCCTGAGGGCCGTGAGGGAAGGTGTGTTCTAGGCCTCTCTCCTTGGCCTATGGATGGCCGTGATCTCCCTGTTTTTACACTGCCTTCCCTCTTCATATGTCTGTGTCCGAATTTCCTCTTAGAGATCATACTGAATTAGGCCATACAGATGACCTCATTTTAACTTAGTTACCTCTGTGAAGACCCTGTCTCCCAATACAGTCACATTCTAAGGTGCTGGTGTTTAGGACTTCACCATATGAATTTGGGGGGGGACACAGTTCAGCCCATAACAGTCCACTTTTCTCTTTCTCAGATGCTAAACCTCTTTCCCAATTTAGGACTTTTCATAAGCTATCCTATGATCATCCACAATGGTATCCACAGGCACACTTGGAATGGTTGTGGATTAACTACCCTCCCACAGCCTCACCATTAGGTGGTCACAAAAGCCAGTCTCAGACCAAAACCTGCCACAAATGAAGACTTGTTAAATGAGCATTCATTAACAGCCTCCACCCACGATCCAGGCCGAGTAGCTCAGTTGATTAAAGTCATTCCAAAACACCAAGGTTGCGGGTTCAATCCCCAGTCAGGGCACATATAAGAATCAACCAATGAATGCATAAATAAGTGGAACAACAAAAATTGATGTCTGTCTGTCTCTTCCTCCCTCCCTTCTCTCTCTGTAAAAAAATCAACCATTAAATAAAAATCAACCATTAAAAATCAACCATAAAAATAAGCATTCATTGACAGGCAAACACAAGATAGTCCATGCAGCCTGTTCTGGAAGCTGATAAAGTCCTAGCTCTCTGCCCATGTAGATACCATGGCTACTCCCTAAATGAAAGGTTCCCTGGAGAAAGGCAGGAGAACATTCTAGATCCTGCATCTCAAACTTCACCAGGCATCAGGATCTCTGGGTGGGTTTGTTAAGGTACAGATGCTGTGTTCTGCCCCCAGAGCTTCTGATTCAGTGTGCACACCTTGACATCGGTGATCTAGAGGCAGGTTTTATTATTCTTTCTGAAATTGGCATCAGGCAGCCAGCAATTTGATAACCAATGGCTTGACCAAGGACATTTAGAGAGTTAGTCTAGAAGCTAGAGTGCCAAGCCTTGGAGTATAGACTGCAGAACACTCTAGATTCTCGTACCTAACAGGCATAGGGGCAGAGAATGTCTCTAAAAGGTTTTAGAAAATACTATTCATGTCATCAATGAAAAGCCATTTCTCAAGGTCATTATGCTCATTAGTAAAGCCGTGGCACTGCTCGAGCTCTGGATAAGTGAAGTGCACAGGGATAGCTGAGTGTGGCCTTACCGATGCAATGATAGCTGACTACCCATCATGTGAATTCCTGGATAGGGCACACATGCCTGATATCACCGGTCCAACCTGGACAGTTTAGAGCACGTTACAGGCAGCATTAATGGAAAGGAAAGTGAACTAACAAATCCGTGGGCATTTGTTTGATCCCACAGACTGAGCCTGAAATCATAGAGGAAACCAACATTGACAGAGTTAACGAGCCGCGGGGCTACGCCAGGTCGCGGCAGGTGAAGGGCCACTCTGAGACGTCCACGCTGAGCTCCCAGCCCTCCATCGACGAAGTCCGGCAGCAGATGCACATGCTGCTGGAGGAGGCCTTCAGCCTAGCGTCCGCGGGGCATGCGGGCCAAAGCCGGCACCAGGAGGCCTACGGCTCAACACAGCACCTGCCCTACTCGGAGGTGGTGACCAGCGCCCCAGGGACCATGACGCGGCCCAGAGCTGGGGTGCAGTGGGTGCCGACCTACCGCCCAGAAATGTACCAGTACAGTCTGCCCCGGCCGGTAAGTCAGACATCCTGCCCGCTGGCTATTATCAGGTCAGACCTGCCCCGGGTGTTCCAACAGGGGTCTCTGAGGGGGGGCGTCTAGTGATAAGTCACCTTGGAATTTGGAGACGGGACTTTGCTGGGCTCTCACCCTGTCCTCCACCCATGGTCCAGGCCTAAGCCTTGGAGTCCTCTGGACATACCCGCCCTTATATCCAACTGTAATACACTTCGGGAAGAACTTCCTTTGCTATTGTCCCTCCTGTGAAGGGCTGATCTCATTCTTCCTGCACTGATGGTTTCCTGCATTTCCAAGTGTGAGGACCCATTTTAAATGTCCAAACGCATCGCAGAGCTGCATGTTAGGGGTCTGTGTAGCGTGGTGATTCAGAGCAGACGCTCTGGAGGAAGGGGGCTGGCCTCTGAATCCCAGCTCTACCACTCACTGGCTTTGTCACTTGGGGATGTCACTTAAGTTCTCTACAGATGAAATCAGCAAATGAAAATAACCTACTTCCTAGGGTTATTGTGAAGAGTAAACCAGTTGATATATACCAGATACTAGAAGAATGCAGGCACACAGTAAATGCTATAGAAGTGTCAGTCATGTTTATTTCATTATTTGGTAACTGCACGTCAGTAGCTGAGAAAGCACCCAATGACCAAAGCTTCCGTGAATAAACAACAATTTTAATTAGTTTGCATTGTGTTCATTATCATAGTATCTACACATATCTTTTTATTTAAAAAAAGACTTAGTTTTATAAGCCATACACCATAATAGACGATGCCTTGTACATGTATAGATTCCATCTTTGTAATATTTCATGGCCTATCCCCAAGGATTGCTCATTAATAGAGTTCTATAAATCGTCATAGTGACATGTAATTACATAATAAAAGCTAACATTTATTGGGTTTCACTGTTGCGAGGTCCTGATCTAGGTGTCATGTGTGTGTTCGCTCATTTCTTTAGTTCATACTACAAGCCTCTGACACAGGTACTAGTTTTATCCCTCTTTTACAGATGAAGAAACTGAGATTACAGTTTGCTCAAGTCACACAGCCGGAAAGGGGAAGAGCCAGGGCCCAAGGCCAGGCAGTATGGCGCCAGAGCCCATATTCTTAACCAGCTTGTTTTTTTGCCTCGTGCTGTGTTACATTGCCATTCATATCATTTCTCATTTTCTGTAGCCTGTGGACTTGTAGAGCCCTGTGAAACCATCAAACATGTTAGCATGTCATTCCTAGCATGTCATTCTCCAGCCTAACCTTTCCCTGTTGATTAAGCATTAGCAGGAGAGCCCAAAGTTTATTTGAAACTGAACCTCTGAGGCTATGCTTGGGTGAGGTCATCATCTTTGCAGGTACAGAATTTCTGTTTTGTCCATTCGCTCCAGCGTGGTCAGATCCGGGGACTCTGACTCATGCTGATTAAGCTCAGAACAATTATTAATTCACAAACCTGCAAGGAGAAGCCAGATGGGCCAGAATACTTGTTTGCTGGTCCACAGAGTCTTTTCATTAGTAAAAGCCAAGTTGGACAAAGTGAGACATTATCAGAAGAACTGGTAGGTGTCAAAGTCATCTTTCTTAGTCTGCAATATGCAAATCCAGAGAGTATAGTCAATAAAGGAAACAGGATGAACATGGGGCATCTTTTTTGCATCCCATTTTCTGAGAGAAGGGTGGAGTAATGCAAAATTTCTTATGTAATTTTTAAGCTAAAACAGGGCTTTAGGGCCATGTCCAGATCTCAGGAATACGACTTCGTCTCTGCTGTCAGGGAACCTTGCTGGCTACGGTCAAGAAGCGCTGCCTTCCGGAAGAGCGACACAACTCTGGGGCCACCACTGGCCCAGCTCTCATCGTCTAGGGTCCCAATCCTTTCTTCAGAAAATTTAAAAAATTATCACTCAACCATACAAACCTGTCACCTTGATATATTTTCCCATGGTAGTCATATTACAGTTTTCTACTAATTGAGCATTAAATTAGTACCCACTTTTATGGGGTAAGAACGAACCTCCTCACTGAGATCTAGAAAACACTAATCTTATCACACACAGGGTGGGGGTAAGTAGGCTTAAGGTTGTGAGTACTCAAAACACTCACTTAATTCTTGTGCTATTATTTATTCATGATAGTGTTACTTTTCATACAAACAACTGTAAACTTACTTTTGCCCCACCCTGTATATACTACCTCTTAAGTGTCTGTCCCCTGAGAAAAGTTACCTGTACCCATTCTGTAGTGATTCACACTGACTTCGGTTTCATTGGTTCATCCCTCCTGAGCTCCATGTCCCAGGATTTCGCCCCCAGTCCAGAGTAGAATGGCCCTCTCCAGCTGAATGACCTTAGCCAGTGACCACAACTCTGAGCCTCAGATTCCTCAGTCATTAAGTGGTGAGGACAAGAGGGCTGCAGGGAGGATGAAATCCAGGTACCGTGCTTAGCACAGTCCCGGCACCTAGTCAGCATCCAGTAGTCATTTGCCGATATTAATTAAAGTGCTTTACATGGTTCCTAGCACATTGAATTACTCGATAAATGCTAGTCATTAATATAAAAAATATCCTCTCCTTTGCAGTGGGTCCTACTAGTTATATCCCTTTCCCCCGACAGTTCTGAGATGATGTCTTCTCCTCCTATTCTGTGAAATTCCTTTCAGCGCATGCTCTGAGTGCCCCAACTCAGAGTTCCAGAGAAGCTGCACTTATGTCTAAAGATGATTCTCAAGAACAGCGGGACCCCTTTGGCTGGAGGCCAGATTCTGGGAGTCCATGCAGAGATCTGGGTTTCAGAGAGAAAAGCTTAATCAACAGGATGAGCCTTAAAACCAATGGCGGCCAAGAAGATGCCACAGACCACATCTGTTATGCTCGATTTAACAAAATCTTCTAAAAATTTCATGGTGGGACATATAAACACTTAGATGGTTCCCTTTGTCATAATATGGGGTTGGCAGTTGTGCCAAGGAGGGCAAAAACATCAGCATGATATACTTTAAAAATGACAACACTGAAAAAAAAAAAAAGGAAAAGGCTTGAGAAATAACACAACAGAGAGGGAGGCCATCCAACCCATAGGATATCAAAGGCAGTTCTTTTGTTATTAGGGTTTTCTTTTTCTTTTTCTTTTTTTTTTCTTTTTTTTTTTTTGCTAACAGCACATGTGGCCCCTATTTTCATGAAAGGAGAAAATAGCCTACAATGCACAATAGCCTACAAGTCAAAATGATGGTTCTTAACCCAAGTTCTTGTGGAGCCCCCTTGCGCTATGGTAATGAGGAAATCAATAGGAAAGATGGCAATTTAGAAGGATAACGGTGATTACTTTTCAGCTTCCCAAAAGCAAGGGCTCTGCGCTCTGCCGGAGGATAATTGGAGGCTGGTGGTTTTAAATGCACAGGGCCACGCTGATGGCATTTATATCGTGGGAAAGGTGACTGCTGGCTGCGAGGGATGTCTGCCCTGCATTTTAGGAGACTCTTGACCATATTTTACCCCTTAAGTCTCTGAAGAAATTGGATTCGACACCTAATGACCAATCAGATTTGGCTAGCAGCTGTAATGGGTCTGTGCCAAGGGGAGGGAGAGCATCCCTCAGCCTTTCTGTGGGTGTCTGAGAAGGGGTTTCCATGAAAGGTAGCAGGTGAAGGCATCTCCCTCTACAATTACTAGAGGCTTTACAGATGGAAATGACAATAATAATAATGATTAATAATAATAATAATAATAATAATAGCAGTTGCCATCTATTGAGCTCCCTGTGTACCTGACACTGAGCTAAGTGCTGTGTCGACATTATTTATTATCATCGAACAACCACCCTATGAGGTCAGTAGTATTACTCAATGAAGAAACTGAGGCTTGGAGAAGTAAAGAAAGTGGCTAAGGTTACACAGCTATAAAGGGAAGAACTGGGGTTAGGACCTCGAGCTGTCTAACTTCAAGGCCCACTCTCTTTCCACCCTGTGGCCAGGCCGGTCATAGGGAAGCCTTCCAGGCTCCGATGAGAACTCGAATCTCCAAAACTTCAGTGTGATCTTCTCATAAGGAAGCGTACCCAGTTTGAGGGGATTTTGTCCATTCCTTTCATTGCCCCTTGTAAGGAAGACATGTCTATTGGGATGAAATTGAGAATTGTACATTCTTTTTTCCTGCTCTCCCCTCAAAAACAGAACAAAATAAAAAGACCCCTCCCAAACCTTTGCTTATGGTGAGATATAAAGAACATTTCTTGTGTTCAAAAAATGTTACATTTCTCGTGTTTCTCCAAATCAAATGTGAATCTGTCCTGAGTTCCCATCTGTCCTGGTAGGTGGGAAATTCTATGTCAGTTGTTACTGAGTTCCCTTCACCTCTGGTTACACCAAAGTCATTGGTGGTTTGATGGAGTTGGATCATCAGGAGAGGGTCCTCCCCAGGGTGGCTCTCATGGGGCATTGTCCCAACTCAGGAGTCATTGAAGGTGGGTCACTGTCATTCCTAGGCCAGCCTGAGCAAGGGATCTTTGCCTTTGGACTGCCTTGAGAAATTCCTTTTGAAAACCAACTGAGCACCCAACATCTGGCAAATGCATGCCCCTCTGAGTTTAGAAACATCATTCGCGTGAATAAAAACCCTTAGTCTACACAGGAGGGCTCCGTGGAAAGAGAGAAGGAGGGAGAGAGGAGGTCCGGAGAATACTTATTTCAGCCCACAAACTCAGGTGTGTAAGACACATAACCTTCGATATTTTTATGTCATCTTCTCCACATGCCAGAAGCTTACTGTCCATTGGGGCAGTCTCCCTCCATATCCCTGGGTTAAGCTTATTGGGGTTGGGGTTCCAAACCATGCTGAGCGGGTGGGGAGAAGGCTTCAGTATCGGGCCCCAGTTTGTCCACATCTCATGCTCTGGCTGATGTCCCTGAGAAGTCCTTGTTTCCGCTAGTCTCCAGGCAGAAGTCCAGGTAGAACACAGCTGTGCCCTGGTCCTCCTGCTAATAAGCTCTCTCCAGACCTTTCCATTTCTTCCTCCCATGCTCATGAGTTCTGGGGGAGGTGGGGAAATTCTGTGAATTCTGTGCTGCTGCTGGTTCCTGGGCTTTCCTAAAAGTGGGTACAGGTCCCTTGTCTTTAAGATTCCAAACATTGCTATGGTATTTGTGTCCTCTCCTCCCCCTCCCCTGCCCCTCCCTCCAGAGCGAGGCAGGACACACAGCCCCTTCATCAGACCCATCAGCATCTAAGCTCTCTTGCTTCCTTCTAACTCTCCTCTCATCTATCCGAAGGGTGTTTACCTAATCTAGGGGCAGAGTAGTCTAAATGTACCTCACTTCTTCCAAATCTCTTGTTTGGGCATCAACATTAGACCTTGGGCACTTTGGGGCTTAGATTTTTGATAGAATCCTAAACTCTTGCAGTTCAATAGCTCTGGCTTTTGAAATACCAATAAGAACTGGCTCTTAGACCATCTTCATTGGCTGTGGCCTTCCCTGGGGCAGGAAGGTGGGATGCCCTCACTGCTTGGGGCAGGGGAAGAGCCCTGGATTTAAGAATTGTGTGTGTGTTTAGTTGCTACAATTACTATATCAAAATATCCTGTCTCAGCCTTAGCCGGTTTGCTCAGTGGCTAGAGTGTTGGCCTGCAAACTGAAAGGTCCCAGGTTCGATTCCGGTCAAGGGCACATGACCGGGTTGTGGGCTCGATCCCCAGTGGGGGACTTGCAGGAGGCAGCCAATCCATGATTCTCTGTCATCATGGATGTTTCTATCTCTCTGTTCCTCTTCCTTCCTCTCTGAAATCAATAAAAATATATTTTTTAAAAATCCTGCCCTGACCAGTTTGGCTCAGTGGCTACGCTAGAGCTTCGGCCTGTGGACTGAAGAGTCCCAGGTTTGATTCCGGTCAAGGGCATGTACCTTGGTTGCGGGCACATCCCCTATAGGGGCTGTGCAGGAGGCAGCTGATCGATGTTTCTCTCTCATTGATGTTTCTAACTCTCTATCCCTCTCCCTTCCTCTCTGTAAAAAAACAATAAAATACATTTTTTTAAAAAATCCTGTCTCAGAAGGAAGGGAATATCACTTATCGAGTACCTACTATATAACATGTGAAATGAGTCTTTCAAACAGCCTTAGAAATGGAGATTTTATACTAGTACCTTCATCACCTAATGAGAAGGTAAGTTGCTCAAGGTCAAACAGCTGGTAAGGATCAAAGCAGGATTCAAGCCCATCTTTGACTCCAAACTCGTGCCGCTGTACATGCCACCTTAGCTCAGAATTGCAGGACAGTGCCCTGAACTGGCTGTGTGATTTTGACGAGACAATTTACTTCTCTGGGGTTCAGTATCCCTTCTGTTAAGGTAAGGGGTGTGGTCTCAGTGTCTCCTGCTCTCTTTCCACTTGAACCTTCTATGACTGCCAAGGCCTTGGAAGCCTCAGATATTCTCTCAGTAGCTCTTGGTGAGCTGACGGAACTACCAGGGTGTAAAGTTATTTATAGCTGCGTGTGGCTTTCGGTGGACACCTGTTCTGCCTGGCGCAGTATTCTCAGGGTCAGCACAATGCAGTGGAAGGGGTACCATGAGGTGAAACCCAGTGTTGTCAACAGGTATGGAAATTGGCACATCCACTCTGAACTGGACAAGGGCCTCCAATGAGGGTGGGTTGGCGTTGGCCTGTCCGTGCTCCTCCCCCAACTAAGGAAAAACCTGAGACCTCTGACCTGTTCCTCTAGCCACAGGCCGCCCCCTTTGACTATTACCCCTATAGTGCTACCCTTGACGTTGCTCTTGACCAGATTCCTCTTCCTGGATACATGCACATGCACATGCACATGCACAGGAGGGACCAGCACAGGTGGGTCTCACCTGGACTCATTCTCTACTGCAGTGGTTCTCAACCTTCCTAATGCCGTGACCCTTTAATACAGTTCCTCATGTTGTGGTGACCCCCAATTTCATTGTTACAAATTGAACATAATTAAAGCATAGTGATTAATCACAAAACAATATGTAATTATATATGTGTTTTCCGATGGTCTTAGGTGACCCCTGTGAAAGGGTCGTTCGACCCCCAAAGGGGTTGCGACCCACAGGTTGAGAACCGCTGCTCTACTGGGATTGCTAGAAGGGTTGGCCTTGACCCTTACCCCCCCCCCACCCCCCCGGGGCATCAGGACTGAGACTTGGAGCAGACTGTGCACCTTCTTTCCCTCTACTTTACAACCAAGCTTCCGGTCCCAGGGTGTCTGACTCTAGTCATACCCAGGCTCCTTCCACCTCGAAGATCTAAGACCTATTTACAAAGGCTTCCTTGAGTCCTGGATCTCTGAGCTCCTTCCTAGGAGAGGGCAGAGATTCCAAGAAAAGGTGTCCTTGGTCACCAAGCTGGGCAACCTGTGCCAACATCATGAAACTTGGAACCAGGCAACAGTTTTGAGCAATAACTTCCAATGGGATCCCAGTCACGAAGCAGCCAGCAGGGAGCCAGGTTCCAAATACATGAGACGGGAAGCCAGTATGAGAGCTTAGAGGACTTTGAACCACGGGGTACTTGCACAGAGGGGATATAGGAAGATGCTATGTGGGACGCAGGACCCAGGACCCAGGTTGCCTGTTTGAGGCCCAGAGGATACAGCCCAAAGGCGGCTCTGATCTCTTCTACGGTCTTGCTGTGTACCTGGATACTTTTTTCCAAAGCAGGGAATTCCCTTAGTACTTGTCCAAAGTTCAGAACTTTTCATCAATTCTCCTGGTGAACTGGTACAGGACAGCCATGGACATAGGAAGCTTTTTCTTGGCTGGAAACTGTATTGACTAGAGAACAAGCCTTCCAAGAACCAGGGATAAAAATGGGTTGCCTGTCTCCTCTATTGGTTGTGAGCGGCCAGAAGAGAGAAGAGGGACTATCAACCCCTTTCTCTCTTTTGGAAAAGGTATGTCCTTCCTTGTTGGTTTATTGATAATAATGGATTGCAAAGCGGGAAGGACATCCAGGACAATGATTTTTAAATTCTCAGCAAAACTTAAGGGTTCAGGGAAGTCCCCACGCTGTCATCGTGCAGGTAAGTGAAGAGCCAAATTCACCAGGGTACCCCCCCCCCCCAGCCGCCCCAACACACACACACACACCTCAGCAAACTAAAATAGAACCATGGGCTGAAACCAGAGCTGGAAATAGTGAGGAGTAAGCAAAAACGAAAGGTGGAGTGGAGTCCTTGAGATGCCTCTTGCATCTTGCAATTGCCACTGTGCTTAAAAGGTATGTTTTATCCAGGATCAGGTTGTTATTTAGTGGATTGGCCCTAGTGAGTATACAATCTGCCATAATGCTGAAGGGAGGAGACTCATTCTGTTTAAAAGATTCCCTCTACTGCTGCTTTTGGTCCTGATGCCTTCAATTTAATCTTGTCATCTGGTCATGGAGAGATCTGGCAGGCCATGGTACCTAAGGAAAAAGATGAATGAGAAGCACAAGTTAAGCTCTGTCTCCCCAGAGAGCATTTCTAGATTTGTTCTTGCTAAGAAAGCTGTGGCCTGGCTCTCTGATCCTGTCACTGACGTTGTCCTCTTATTCCCTCAAGTGTTGATTAAAGTCTTCACTTTGGTGACAGTTCCAGTCATTTATCTTTGAATAGTGCTTTATAGACTGCAAAATACTTCACACATACACTCACTTGCCTGATTTTCGCAGTACCCGTCTGAGCAAGGCGTCTTTTCTCCATTTCAAAAGAGGACACTGAGGCCCAGAGAGATCACCTGTCTTGCGTAGGGACATAAAGTCTATTCATTGGCAAACTAGGCCCTCCACCCACACCTCCTGATTCCAAGCCCATTGCTTTCCCCCATTAAACCTCATTTCCATGAGTGAGAAAGTAAAATGCAATCACTGGCTCGTTCATCTAATATTTATGGATTGTCTTTGATATACCAGGCATTGTTCCAGGCTCGAGGAGCTAGCTGGCAACAAAGTCCCTGCCCTCATTACAGTCTAGGTTGGTGGCAGATAATAAATAAACAGGCAACATTAAAAGCACACCAGGGAGAAGGAGCAACACGTACAAAAGCCCAGGCGGGAAAGAACTGGGAGTATACAATTGCCAAGAGCACCTTTGCAAAGAACAATTGAAGGACTCTGTGACCACAGTGGCCTAAGCAAAGGGGACAGTGATAGGAGATGAGATAGAAGAGGGGGCTGGGGAACATCTTAAGGAATATCTTAAGGGGGGAGTTTGAGGAAGGAAGAAAAGCCTACCCCTCCGACATTTGCTTCCATTTTAAAAAGAATCTGTGCGTTGGTTGGCCCTGGGTTTTAACAGATCTCCCTCTTTTTGCTTGTTTCTTTCACAGGCCTACAGGTTCTCCCAGCTTCCTGAAATGGTCATGGGCTCTCCGCCTCCGCCTGTACCTCCGCGGACTGGCCCTGTAGCGGTCGCTTCTCTCAGGCGGTAATGCTTTCCTGTGTTGGCTTTGTTTAGAAATTTGGGAAGGAGTTGGACCTGTATACCCCAACCTGACAGATTTCCTTCATGCCGTGCCCCATTCTGGGGCATCACCCATACAGACCGCCATGTGCCTGGGGCACCTGAGTACTGTGAAGGATGTGGAGGCCATAGAGGCCTAACCGACTTTCCTGTCATTGTAAATAGAAAGTCCTGGAGAACCCACAATTGAAGAACCCCAGTGTCATTGCCCCATGCCCCGAAAGCTCCGTCTCTGATCTCGAACATGTAAAAATTACCCCAGCTGGGGCCACCACAGCAGCTGCCTCACGGCTGGCTGCCTCCTGCCATGTGTGCACAGCCAAAGCCCCTTTGTTATTAGGGGTGGTGTCCCAGAGGCCAGGGAGCAGCGTGTCTCAGCACTCACCCCAACTCGTGACTCTCAAGAGGGAGAGGCTGAAAGCACATGAACTCAGATATGTCCACTTCGAGGCATATTCACTTTGCTCTGTGATATAAAAGGTACATGTTTTTTTGCTTTTCTATCCTCCCACAAGGATAGTTTTTTCTATTGATTTTTAGAGAGAGTGGAAGGGAGGGAGAGAGAGAGAGAGAGAGAGAGAGAGAGAAAGAAAGAAACATCAATGCGAGAGAGACACATCGATTGGTTGCCTCCTGCACTCCCCAACCGGAGCCAGGAATTGAACTTGCAACTCAGGTACATGCCCCTGATTGGGAATCGAACCCCCCTTCAGTCTGTGGATTGACACTCTAACCGCTAATCCAAACCAGTCAGGGCAGCATGTGTTTTTAATAAAAATAGACAAGAAACACAAAGGCCGGAAACAATTGGTCCTAGGAGTATGTACTGGCCATTGCCCTGGCCTTCCGACCCTAGCCTCTCCTAACACACTAGTCATACCCTATCTGTGGACCACAGGTTTGAATTTTGTGAAAACAGTAAAGAAAAATGGCTTTCCCTCAGAAGCAACCCTGCCCTCAATCCCAGCAGTTTAGAATCCCGGGCTGTGTGTAGACCCCACCCCTTGGCCCCAGCTGAACTCAGAGTCGGGTGAGAAGCAGCAGACCAGGGTTCCATCTGACTTGCCAGTAATCTGCTGTGTAACTCCAGGCAAACTGCTTCACCCCTCTGGTCCCTGGTTCCTTACCTGTAAAATGAGAGCAATACCCTAACTGTTCTCAGAGGCTCTGGGATTCCTTAAAGGAGACCAAATGTATGGTGCAGGCATTCTGCTGGGAAGGGTTTTCTGAAGGAGTCGCAGATGCTGGGAACAGTATGAGGGAGGCCAGGGCTGGGGAGTGAACAGGCCAGAGAAGGAGGGAGGGATTGAGAAAGAAAGGGAGACCCACCCCACACTGCTGAGCGTCCAGCAGCCACCCTCCCTCAGTTACTCCCCAGGGTTCTGGCTGGGCGGAGCGCCACATCCACCCTTTGTGGTACGTTTGCCAAAGCCCAGCATCTATTTCATCTCTTCTGTCAACCAGCAGTCTCCTCCCATGTCCTTCCGCACTGTCTGCCATCCTTGCCAAATAGGAGGTCACCGCCCACTCTACAAACCCAAAGGTTTCCATCTCTGCTCAGCGGGTGGCCTGAGGGCTGGCGGCCTGCCACCTGCTGTGGCTGCCTTTGCCTGCCTGTCATGTTAATTGTAGGGCAGCCTGGCGTCTCTATGGCTAACGCACACTTATAACAATGGGAGAGGCTAACCCTCATGACAATGGGAGAGGCCACTGAGCCCAGGCTGCCCTCTCGACTTTCTGAGCACTTAGTGGAAATACGATGTGTGAAATGGGCCAGATTCTCTGCCTGCCTGGGACAGAAAAAAAATGTGTTCCTATTCATAATGCCCAGGAAGTGCCCGAGTGCTCGGCTCCTGTGCCTGGAGCTTCCCAGAGCCTTGGGCATCTTGTTCCTGCCAGTAACTAGTCCTCAGGGCCCTCTGACTCACCCATTCTGGTGTCAGGAGCGGGGAGCACCCTTGCACTTCAGATGGAGCCTTCTCATTGGCTCTCGATGATGTCATCACCTCCCAGGTTGACCATCCCCAGCTAATACTCAGTGCTAATTGCTTGGTTTAATTTTATGTAGAAATTAAGCACTGAACTCCCCAGAGACAGAAGAGCCACCCTCAAGGGGGTACTGACCTTGAATATCTAATAATGTCTCCAGCGCCCGGCCAGCATGGCTCAGTGGTTGAGCCTTTGACCTAGGAACCAGGTGGTCATGGTTTGATTTCCAGTCGGGGCACATGCTCAGGTTGTGGGCTCGATCCCCAGTGTGGGGCATGCAGGAGGCAGCGGATCAATGATTCTCTCTCATCATTGATGTTTCTTTCTCTCCCTCTCCCTTCTACTCTGAAATCAATAAAAATATATTTAAAATAAAAATAAAAATGTCTGCAGCTTGGGCCACCACGATGACTGTTACTGGTCTGGGCATGTTGGCCCCCTTTGTTATTTGGGGTTCCCCAAGGTGACTGCCCAGCCAGCCATGGTCCAGAAGCGGCTAACGTAGCCCCTCTGCCCGCCCAGGTCCACCTCCGATGTTGGCAGCAAGACCAGGATGGCCGAGTCCACTGGGCCCGAGCCGGCCCATCTGCATGACAGCGCCTCCTTTACGCAGGTGTCCAGAGGCCCCGTGTCCATGGCGCAGCTGGATCAGTCAGCTTTAAATTACTCAGGTGGGCAAGAGAAGAAAAGCCTGCATCGGACCCTGGTCCCAACCTCACCCCCCTCCACCCCGACATCCACACTCCACCTTCTACCTGCTGCCCTCAGGAATCCAAGAGCCACTCCTTTTATTTTTCAAAAACATCTGAAATCTGACAAAATATTAAGATATGCTTCAGTCAGGGTATATGCCAGATTTCAGGTTTTTAAAAATGATATATTTTTAAAAGCATTACAGATACAACGATCCATCTCCATCTAAATTCCCTTCTCCCCAGAGGTAATCATAGTCTTAAATCCTGGGTATTAACCTTTTGCTACATATGTATGTATATAACAGTATATATCAGCAATTTTTTTTTCATCTTATGGCACACATAAACTAATGACTAAAATTTTGCAGCACACCAAAAAAACGTATTTTGCTGATTTTGATTCATTAGCACCAGACAGCTATTTTTGTGTTGGCTGTCGTCATTTCTTAATTTGACCATCTAAGGGAAAAGAGGTCAGTGCTCCTGACTAAATAGTCAGGTATTGCATGTTTTAAGCATTCTTATAGCTCACCCGTGTGTTGCAACACACCGGTTGAAAATGGCTGGCATATATGAATGCTTTATCTATTTTACATCTACACCAGCGCTATCAAGCTATACATTTCCTTTTGCACCTTGTTCACTTGACTCAGCCCCCCTTGCCTCCAGGTTGCTGGAGACACATAGATCTAGTTCATTCCTTTAAACTGCCATGTGATCTGCTCTTATAGGATCTGCCACAGTTGATCCTTTCCCCTAGTGAGGGACATATTGGTTGTGTCCAGTTTTTTACTATTACCAACAACGTTGAAATGAACGTGGAGGTTGGTACATGCCCTGATTGGTGTTTTGTTTATTCAAACCTTACCTTTTAGGCTAAACCTGCAAGCACCCAGTCATCAACGCTTATTAAAGCATTCACTGTGCCCAGAAATGTCACCGGGGGAATCCATTGCTTTTGGTTTCTTTTCTTGGCTCTTTAAAAATACCCTTCCTCCTGGGAGGGCGACACCTGGACACTGAGGTGCCCTTTTCTTTGTCAGCAGGTCTGAGGTGTTGGGCTGGGGGTGGGGGAGTTGGTGAGGGCTCAGCCAGGGGAGTTGAGCGATCATTTCTCTAGAAAGACAGGCTGAGTCGGCAGATCAGGCCTTTCACACTGACTGGGCAGTGAACGAGGCTGAGGCTACAGGTGGAGGTCTGCTGCTCCCCCATTACCAACTCCCCCAGTGCCAGACC